GAACTTTGACCCTTCTTCATATAGTTTGGAGACCCTAAAATGAATAGTATTAAGTACTCTTATTATTTTATGTTCAAATGAATATCAAACTTTCCCAGCAAGTCTAGTTAACTGGGCATGTGTTCTCTGTTCTAACTGTGCTCTGGCTACAGATCCCTCTCTGATGCTGTAGTGGACAATGTGGTGAACCACTCAGATCCCTCCTTCCAGAAACTCTCATTTCCCAGCTGCTCGGACAATTAGTTGCTGACAGCTCACAGATGAGTTTCTTCCCAGGAACTGCCCCCCGTCGAAGGGAGAGAGCCTACACAACCACTGGTTGACTGGTTGATGTGTAGTGAAAAGCCCTGGCCTCCTTGACTCAATCGAGGCAACTGAGGGAGCTGCCCAGCTCCACTCTCCCCAGTGGTTCGGCTGAGGCCCCTATTGCAACTGTCCTGCATTTATCCTCTGATTAATCCTGCTTCCTTCACCCCTGACAGGTATTGTTTCTACAAGCACTCCTCCGTAGACCTATAGCATGCAATCCCAGAGTCTCAGAGTTTGTCTCCCAAGAAACACAATCTACCACAGGGATTTTGGAGCTGAATCACAGGCCACTGGTTGGCAGTGAGGCCCCCCACCACTGGCAGTAGATGGAGTAGCAGTAGACGCTGCTATACAATTTTGGTGCATTTCATAAATTTTACCTGGTGGTGAGCAGGGAATCGATGTGTGTAGACCAGAGTGCACTGGTGGAATATCTCAGGCATCTGAGAGTAGTAATTACAAGTATTTTGGAATCAGATTGCTGTTGCTGGGAGCCATTGTACATTAGAGCAGGACAAGTTTGAGGGTAATTATTCCCCAACAAGGCCTACTGGGTAGCATATAATGACACTCTCATATCCTGTAGTTAAAGGGCAGAAAAGGCTAAGGATCAGATCCTGAACTTAATTATAAAGGCAGTGGCTCATCAACACAAGTTCAATTCTCAACCCTGGGAGGTTGGCTGCACTGAGGTTAGGCCCCTGATTGGGAAAGAGTGGGACCCTGGGACTTGGAATGGAGACATGTGGGAAGATGCACGGCCTGATCTTGAATCCCCACACTCACCTGGGCTCTGGGGGCCTGCGAAAGTGTTCCTCTCCTCCCTTAGCGGCGGCACTGCCTTCCCGAGGAAGCACGATGCTAAGTCATCTTCTTTGCAGCACAATATGCACCTCGCTCAGAATGTATCCCACCTGCCCACGTGCTGCCAGACCAATAACTGGCTGATTTACAGCAGGACCTGGCTAGTGAAGTGCTGGGCCTGCTACGGGAGGAGAGGAGTTGTATCGTGAAGTTGCTGCAGGACCCAGCTAACATGCTCATGTGTAGCAGAGCCCAGGGGCTCCAGCATCTGTGAGGCCCAAAGAAGACACACAGGTTGGAACTACAAGCACAGATGTGGGTGATGGATGCATGTTCTGTGTGAAATAAATTACTCCAGGCCTAGGTAGTTGGCGAAAACACTTATACAATTGTCCAGTAAGTATGGGAAGTTTGGATTCCTTCGCATACCAATCTCTCTTCTAGAATATGTTTCGCTTCAACTTTATAGTACTAGTCTTGAAATTTTAGTGGCGTGAACATCAATAAAGTCTTTTGCTCAGATGATTTAGCCACCTGACAAAAAAATTCATTCTCTGTAACTATGACTTGAATAGAGCAGTGCATATTTCAATGGGCTTTCTCTTTACTGAAATAGAAGGAAAGCAGCGCTGTGCTAAGTCTTTGTTTTACTGTCAATGTCTGCCTCATGAACTCAGAGAGGTTCCTTTTAAGATTGAACAGAGGTTTCAGCTGTAATTTGATAGAAAAGTACCTGACCCAGTGCTCCTTCTTAGCAAGAGACCTCATGATGATTCCTCATGTCCACTGATAGCAGCAGCCCTGAGCCATCATAAATGCGCTTCCTACATCACCGCAGTCAGTAGGAATCGCTTGCCTGTCACAAGAATTTGCAATTACACTAGAATGTCATCATTCCAGGAAACTATAAAGCAAAGAACATGTTTATTTTCAGCCACAAAGGAAAAAAATATCCTGAGAACCAGATTTTCTTGGCAGTTTGAAGCATTTATTAGAAAATCTGTAATTTCTTTTTGTAATCCCACACTCAGTGGGCATCCCCTTTAATGGAGGTATGTCAAGCCTGGAGAATTATATGGTACATTCTGAACTTGCTTTGCTGGGAAAATAAAAGACTCATGACTTAATTTATAGGCTTGTTGAGTTCACCACCCTTCTGGCTCCCTCGAAGGTGGAATTAATGTCTCATAATGGCTTAAAGAGGCCTAAAGTGCTCTCAGGTGCCCTTAGACACTGGGAAGGGAGGACACTGAAATCTGACACGAGTATTTTACCTTAAGTAATATTTAGTACGAAAAGGTACCCTGCAAAGTTAAAGACTACTTGGAGCTTTCTGGGTAATTGCACTGGGTGGAGATTGCTTTTCTGTTTTTCTACTGTTTTTATTCCTTCCCACCTAGAAACATACTGGCTTTGAGGTGGTTACTCCTTCAAATAGGCTCTCAATGTGGAGAGACTAAGAATCACTGATGTGCTGGGGAGATAAGGCCCGCTCCTCTCTAACCTAGCCATGTGCTGGCTGTGGTGTCCTGGTTCCTCTCCACTGGGCGTGGTGGTGGCACCAATGGACTTCCTGTTTAAGTGGCAGGTGCCTGCAGTTTTAATCCAGTAGGATTTAAACCTACTTTGGTTAATATTTCTTCCTCTTGGTTCACTACCTCTATCCTTACATTTTCTTACCCATGAAACTGAGTAAAATCTGAATTCCCTGCATTACATAGTCTGACTCTGTTTTTTTGATGTGAAATTGCTGTAATTTCTTAAGGCTCATCCACCCTCTTCCCCTGGGACCCCACATCTAGATGCCCATGATAAGGGAAAAAAGTCCTCTGGTGCTGGAGGGCAGTTCAAACTATGCAAACCCTGGCCTGTGTGTGGGAACCCTCACCCCAGCCCCAGCCCCTCACTCCCATAAAAATCCCAAGCCAGTCCCTTTTTCAAGACTCTCTTAAGCCACTTTTGGATCTGCTTGGGAGCTGCCATACTCTCCCTAGAAATCTTCATCGTGTGAGTGTGACAGTTAATTTTTGTGTCAACTTGGCTAGGCCACAGTATCCAGATAGTTTGTCAAACATTATTCTAAATGTTTTATAAAGGTATATTTAAAATTAAATTAAAATTTAAATCAGTAAACTTTGAGTAAATCAGATGACCTTCCATAATGTGGGTGGGCCTCATCCAATCAGTTGAAGGCTTTAATAGAAAAAGACTGACCTCCTTTGAAAAAGGAGTTCTGCCAGCAGATCACCTTCAGACATGAACTGCAGCATCAACTTTTTCCCAGGTCTCTAGCCTGGCAGCCCACTTTACAGGTTGCAAGATGGTAGTAGTGATCAGTGGGATGTCACTCGCTTAGAGCCGTGAAGATGACTGCAGAACACAGCAAGCAAATCTCAGCAAATCTCAGCAAAGGAATCTCTTCTCTTATGCAAAGAAATCAAGGAAGCTAAGGGCAAACATTCCCCACCCCCTCCATCCATCCCCCCAAAATGTCACAATCCCTTCCCAGTGTCTGGACATGAGGCAGTTCTCAGACCTGGAAAAAGAGACTTGGTCTCTAGGAGAAAGGACCCACAATACCATGGCACATATTCATGGGAGTGGCTCACCTATATTTTTCCCAAAGGGACCTATGGCCGTTTACTTATTGATATTTTCTAAACTCTTACTATGAGCCACACTTTGAGAATATGACCCCTGCTCTTTGGGACTCTGCAGGAAAAACAAGAGTTAAGTGCTCTAACAAGGGACGTCCAAGGTGTTACAAGATGTTTTCGCTATTCTAATTCTATTTTAGTTGTAGGTGGTGTTCTTTTAAGATCCATATGATGTAAAACATTGGTTCCCTACCAGAATATTGTGACACTGCTTCGTTTCGTCGGGAAGTGCAGAAATGTTCGGTAGCCTGGAATTCACAAAGGATCTTTCCATTTAATGAGCTAAGTGACCATGCATAATACATTTAAATTATAACTTTTCTCATTTAGCATTTGTTTTTGTTCTTTTATACCATAAGAAATTAATGAGGCTGAGAGTCTTAACCCGCATTTTATGTATTTAAAATAATTATGATCAAAGGCCTTTTACACATGTGTATTTGTCATGAATTCTTGTTCAAAGAACTATTTTTCATGGTTCAAGAAGCAAAATTAATTTAAATTGGCAGCTAATGCACAGTTCGCAGTTCCACGAGTCAACTGCATGCCACTGACATTTTTATGTGGAGCCTCCTTGAATGTAATAAAAGTGTTGCACTCAGTGGTGTGTCTAACGTAGGAAGGGGTGGAGGGCTCATTGTCTGAAACGCACACCCCAGGGCTCCGGGTCCTGCCCTGGGCCACCATCGCCACCAATTCTCTGTTGTCCCGAGGTTGACTTGTGTGACTAAACTGCACAGTGCCATCAAGTGCTAATCTTGACACTCGGGCCCGGTTAAACTCAGGTCACTGATGCACACACCTTTCATCCCCCATCAGACATCAGAGCAGGGAATAAATTCACTGTCGCTAGTCCAGGTCTCCAGCACAGGGCTGTGAGGATGAGAGGAAGCGGCTCCTTCCCTGGGCCCCTGCACTGCGGGCGCGCCTTCGGGATGACCATTCAGGACCCCGTGCGCCGCCCTGAAGGGGGGACTCCCTGCAGAGCCAGGCCCAGCCCTGCGCTTCCCGGTGCGTGGGCCGCAGCCAGGCGCTCCTTGCAGGCCGTGTGCCGTTATGAGCAGTTCAGATGTGGGTCGCTGATCCCTTTCCTCCTGAGCATGTAGCTGTGAGTGAAGCTGCAGACTGCGGCCAGCATGCCCTTTGTGCTCGCCTGAATTTATCTGAGGATACTGAAGCCCAGAGCCAGGGGCTGCGCTTCCCCTTCACAGGCGTACAGACAGGAATGGAACCCGCTGTCTGCGTGGTGAGTTTTTCAAGTGGGGGGCGCAGGGATAATGCACGAAGAGGAAACAGCTCTGGGGGCTCAGGAAAATTTCATTTCACTAGGAGGAATGCATCCATGCTCTTTTTGAAAAGGAAAGGGGTATATTAAGGATCCAGGTATGAAGAGGTGAATATTTTGTTAATCAGACATGAAGACACTAAAAACTAGTATCAGCAACAGCACAGAATGTTCTAAAGAGATTTCTGGCTTGGGGTCCCAGCTTTCCCACTTACTCACTGTGAGATGTTGGGCTGTTCCCTTCTCTCATCACCACAATAGGGAGATTGGGCCAAATTATCTCCTAAATTCCTTCTTACTGTATGTGATCCTGTGGCATGCTGTTAAGATTTCGGGTGACTATGCACTCATACATCCTACCAAGAGCAGCGTGCCTGGCCGGGGTGGCTCAGTGGTTGAGCGTCAACCTATGAACCAGGAGGTCGTGGTCTGATTCCCGGTCAGGACACATGCCCGGGTTGCCCGCTCAGACCTCAGTAGGGCGCGTTCAGGAGGCAGCCCATCGATGTCTCCCTCTTACCGATGTTTATGTCTCTCTATCCCTCTCCCTTCCTCTTTCTATAAATGCAATAAAAAATATATTTAAAAGTCACCTATTGCTGACAAACTTATTTAAAAGACAGAGAGAGAGGAGTGGCCGCTACAACCCAAGGAAGACTTCTATCGAGTGCCTGATGCTCAGCCAGCGCAGGGCCTAAGCGAGGCACGTTTTCAGCTGTACTGGTGATGCTGGGGACCAGGACCTCTCTACTCGGCTGCCCCTCTAATGCTGGTCATCTGCAGGGGTGTATGGTATTCTTACGGCAGCATAAGGACTGAGTAGTAAAATTTTTCTGCATGCAAGTATATGAACCAAACAACAATGCAATCTTTTATATAGGATTTGTGTTTGTTTTTAAGAATTCACGACTTTCAGAATATATTCTGGAATCGACATGATTCATTCCCATGTTTTGCAGCTTCTTTCCATCCCTTCAGAGGTTATCTCTGATGTGAATACAGGAGGAAGCACAAGGCTCTCCAAGGTAAGCCTCATCACCTCTTGCTGACCAAGCCTAGAAAATGGGCCACAGGTTACACACACACACACATATTTCAGGTTAAACAGAACACAATTAAGACTGCCAATTCATTGAGAAATTCCTTAGTTTGGACGTGTTATTTTAGTTCATCAAAATAAAATTTGGACAGGACTTGCGTGGAGGTTTTAACAATTAGATGGTGCAAAAGTTAATGACTACAGTTCTTTCACTGTCCTACAGGGTTGAATGAATACCAATGGGTGACAGTTAATTCTAACCAAGTTCTCTCAAATATATCAAAGGGGATTCCAACAGAGGCCGACTCTCTGTTTGGTGGTTAAGATCTGAGAGAAGTGAGATGTTGAATGAACTGATCAGGCTCCAAGGGCTTCTCAACTTGAGTTTCCAGGATTCCTGGATGGTACTCAGTGTGGGAAAGGATCTAATTTTTTAGAACTTATTAAAGTTTCTTAAAGATTATTTGGCACTTTAAAATTTCTATAGAAAATCATTTTGACTTTATAAACTTCTCACCTACCTCAATCAAATATAACTATTTTACATTGGGGAATTTTGATCATTAAATCCTATATACTGTATATCAAAATTGTATTGATCTGGAAACTTAGTAGCAACCTGCAATATTGATTTTTTCTCTCTTCCCTCCCCCTACTCCAATGACTACAAATATTAAATATTTTAAAGACCTTTTCTTATGTTGTTCCCCACACATTTCAGTAAATCATTATTGTCTAGACACCAAAAGGAAGTCAGAAACCATTGCTGGAAGTGAAAATTCTTTGGGGATTTTTATTCAATAATAGAGCAATTAAATAGGACATATTATTGAATAATAGAAAGTACTTTCTTTACAATCTGCACACTTAGCAGACGCATCATTAACCATCAAGTCAACGCTTAAGTTCAGGGCCACGTATGCTGAGAAAGCACTGTTTTGTGCATGGATACATTATTGTTCTTTGGAAAATACTTAACACTTAGAGAAGAAAATGAAATACTGAATTTCATATTACAGCTACAATTTAGTATGTTGTGATTATCTATATAGCTATAATACCTAAATTAGATAGCAGGAACACAATTATTAAAGTATAACATCAATCTGCTCATTTAATCAAAAGATACATCCTGAAGCCTGTATGGAATTCTGACCTGCTCTGGGTCAAGGCCACAGTTCATGCCAAAGGATGGTGGATGTTTCTGTCCATAGGCTGATGTAATAAAGGCATGACAGTGGCTAAATTCAGTTTACAATTTACTCAACCTGTCAGCTTTGTCATCTTTACAAATGTTACTTCAAAATTCAAGCATAAAGCGAAGATCTTAATATTGTTAAAATTGTGCTGTTTCAAATTCACACATTTTTTTACTGCATGCAATTTTAAATTTAAATATGCACTCATATTGCTAACTTATTGCGTTAACAGCATCTCCAGCTACTTGGCATTTTAGGGAGGGTTTCATGTAGGCCCTGCCCCAGTTGTCTCTCCTTTGTTGAGCGACGGGAATCAGGGCATGATGGGAACTGCACAGAGGGAGAAGCTAAATTGACTTACATGAGAAAAACCTGTTGCTGTGTGTGTGTAGTGTGGGTGTGTATGTATGTGCACCTAGAAGCAGAAAGAAAAACAAATGCATCGGGACAGAGATTGAGGAGACCCAGTGGTGGGGCAGGAGAACCTCAGTGGGCTGATGGCTTAGGAGAGACAGAAAAGAGGGGCCACGTGGTTGTAATTTCTGGGTGGGATTTCCTTTATGCTTCCTTTTCAAGAGACTGAAATAAAAACTCACGTTATTTTTTTAAAGTCCATCTTATAATTTTAGGGAAGTTTGAGCAGAAAGGACCGAGTTCTCATCTACCCTCTGCCCAACACACTCACAGCCTCTCCCACTATGAGCATCGGCACCAGAGTGGGACATCTGTTACCATCAATGACCCCACTCTGCTCACCACTGTCACCCTCAGTCCATCATTTCCATTAGGATTCACTCCTGGAGTGGTACATTGCATAGGCTTGGAAAGTCTATGATGTCATATACCCACCCTTACCGTATTATGCAGAATAGTTTCACTGCCTTAAGAATCCTCTGTGCTCTGCTATCCATCACTCATGTTACTATTTAATGCTTTTTGCTGTTGAATATTTTGGACTGAATCTTGCTGATCTGGGTGCTGCGATGAGAGAAAGGAGTCCTGGGTGTATTCAGGTTCAATGTGTGGGCTGCTTAACCAGGAGTGACACTGAGGCATAGCTGTCCCTAGGAGGTGGCATCACCAGGACTGTGTGACTGTGTGCCAGATCAGAGAAGCCCCCAGGCTGGGCCTGGGCAGGGCTGAATGCTGGCACAGTGGGTGGTAGGGAAGAGCTGGTGGGCATGGCCCAGGGCACTCGAAGGTCCCACTTGTACACAGAGCTGCCACACAGAAGGCACATCTGGATTCCAGGTTTCACACACCTGGGTCCACTGGGGACATTTTTTAAGGCAACCATAGTAAGTTCTTCTCCAGAGAAAATAAATGGCAGGCAGACTCCTCCGGGCCCTGGAAAGGGATAGTTTTTAGTACCTCTGAGTGTCGAGTGACAATAGAATCCCTCTTCTGTATCTCAGACTTGCTTAGAAAAGTCAGCCTAAGAGAGAGAAAGTGGAGGGAATCTGGCCATTCAGCCTGTTTTATGAATATTAGACACGTTAGCATGTATTGGAAACGAAGGCCCAGGGAGCTGAATCATGAATGCCAGCGTCGTAGGCGACTTGGTTTCAGTCTAAGTGGCGTATGGCACGATGGCTGGGTCAGAAGCCAGGTCTGCTGCTCTGTCATCTGTGCAATGTTGGGCGGATTACTCATCTTCTTTGTGCCTCCACTTTTTTACCTGTAGATGGGAAAGTGATAGCGCCGGCCTCAAAGGGCCTTAGGGAGAATTAAACAAGGAAATGTTCAGTAATTTAGAGATGTTTTAATAGTGTCTATCCATTTGGACACTGCCTGGCCCGGAGTGTGTGCTCTGCGGTATTTATTAAATGAATACTCCATCCTTGTCATTTAACAGAGGAGGGACATTTTCTTATACATAATTTACTTCAAATTTTCACAGGGATTTCTCCAGTCTGACTATAAAACCTTGCATTCGTGAAGTCACCGGTGTTGGAAATTTTTAGATTACTCTCAGCACTGCATGAGGCTCCTTCCCAAGGAGTGGTCTCTCTGTTCAAATCCAAATTCCTGGGGAGGACCACCGAAAACAGGTGAGAGGCCAGTCAGACGCAGGCAGGGAACAGATGTGAGTGGAGGGTTGGGGAAAGGAGGGGGGAGACGGAAGGAGTCTGAAGATGTTGCCATTATTTCTTCTAGAAAGACCCTCAGTGAATCTTCAGTTGGTAGAAGCTAGATAAAAATATTTGGAGCAGGGAGCCTCCTGTTCCCTTCCACCTTGTAAGAGAACACTAGATTGTTTCGTAGCATTAAAGATGCAAGCTCAGTACAAACTGCAAGTCACGCCTGGGGGAGAGGAGAGTGCAAACACTGCAAAGCCCAGATGGAGCATCCGGCAATGAGCCTGGTTTTCCTGCAGGGTCAGTGGAATCCACCTCATTAGTGAAGGGGAAGCCCTGGGAGTCACTGGAGCGTTGTCATCTCTGCAGGGTGTCTCTATAATTGTGGTGACTTAGAGCTGATGGGCCCTTAGCTGTGCTTCTTGGTTAGAGGTCACTGATGTGTTATGACTTAGGACTAGGTGTGTTGAGAAATGCCTCTGGCACTTCACTTTCCCAGCACCCCCTTTTTCAGTTCAACACGTATCTAGTGGCTATTATATGATCTCTCTCAATGAATGATATTACAAAGCAGGAAACATTGAGGTTGACCTCAAATATGTTCATTTATGGTAAAACTGCACCTTGCATTTTACAGGAATGATAGTGTACTTTATTGTTTTCAGAATTTTGTTATGTTACCTCATTTAATTGTTACATATAACATAAGATTAAGTATGAGTGTTATATACAAATGCACAAGCATACGATACATATAAATAATGTAATGTAATATAATATATAATATATAATATATAATATATAATATATAATATATAATATATAATATATAATATATAATATATAATATATAATATATAATATATAATATATAATATATAATATATAATATATAATATATAATATATAATATATAATATATAATATATAATATATAATATATAATATATAATATATAATATATAATATATAATATATAATATATAATATATAATATATAATATATAATATATAATATATAATATATAATATATAATATATAATATATAATATATAATATATAATATATAATATATAATATATAATATATAATATATAATATATAATATATAATATATAATATATAATATATAATATATAATATATAATATATAATATATAATATATAATATATAATATATAATATATAATATATAATATATAATATATAATATATAATATATAATATATAATATATAATATATAATATATAATATATAATATATAATATATAATATATAATATATAATATATAATATATAATATATAATATATAATATATAATATATAATATATAATATATAATATATAATATATAATATATAATATATAATATATAATATATAATATATAATATATAATATATAATATATAATATATAATATATAATATATAATATATAATATATAATATATAATATATAATATATAATATATAATATATAATATATAATATATAATATATAATATATAATATATAATATATAATATATAATATATAATATATAATATATAATATATAATATATAATATATAATATATAATATATAATATATAATATATAATATATAATATATAATATATAATATATAATATATAATATATAATATATAATATATAATATATAATATATAATATATAATATATAATATATAATATATAATATATAATATATAATATATAATATATAATATATAATATATAATATATAATATATAATATATAATATATAATATATAATATATAATATATAATATATAATATATAATATATAATATATAATATATAATATATAATATATAATATATAATATATAATATATAATATATAATATATAATATATAATATATAATATATAATATATAATATATAATATATAATATATAATATATAATATATAATATATAATATATAATATATAATATATAATATATAATATATAATATATAATATATAATATATAATATATAATATATAATATATAATATATAATATATAATATATAATATATAATATATAATATATAATATATAATATATAATATATAATATATAATATATAATATATAATATATAATATATAATATATAATATATAATATATAATATATAATATATAATATATAATATATAATATATAATATATAATATATAATATATAATATATAATATATAATATATAATATATAATATATAATATATAATATATAATATATAATATATAATATATAATATATAATATATAATATATAATATATAATATATAATATATAATATATAATATATAATATATAATATATAATATATAATATATAATAAATAATAAATAATAAATAATATAATATACAATGTATAATATATAATATAAATCTGACACAAGCAGATTATTTTCTTATCTCCATTATACAGATGAAAGTTAAAGAGTGTATGATATCACACAATAAAGGGTAACATTCATTCATTTGATTATCCACTTACTCTTCAAATATCCATTTGTGCTCCTTCCCTGGGCCAGGAACTAACAGTTCTAAGTTCTGGGGAGACGGAGAATAAGACCAAGAAGACCCCACTTCTCCTGCAGCTTACATTTGAGTGGGGAAAGATAGACATTAACAAACAACTGAGGGATAACGTGAGATAGTAAGAAATGACAAGACGACAATAAAATGGGTGATGGGACAGGGTGACTTTTGATTGGATGGTGAGGGAAGGCCTCGCTGAAGAGATGACAAGTGACCTGAGGGTTGAGAAAAGTAGGAACCTGCCATGTGAAGACCTGGGGCCTGAGCTTTCCACCCAAAGGGAACAGAAAGAACAGAACCTGGAGACAGGACTCAGGTGGACCCCTGAGGAACAGAAAGGAAGACGCTGGCGTGGCTGGGTGTAGTGGATGAGGGTATCGGGGTCTGAGATGTCACTCTACTTACAAGTTCAGAAATTAGCCCATTCCTGTTTCATGGACGCTGAAGAAGATGCGAGACTCCTGGGTCAGATNATTAGCCCATTCCTGTTTCATGGACGCTGAAGAAGATGCGAGGCTCCTGGGTCAGACTCAGCCCAGCAAGCAGCAGGAGAATTGTGTCAGTTCCCCAAGTCCCATGGGGGCCACCTCGATGGGCAGGTGGATGCTGTACCCTCAGTGGGTTTGTGTGCAGGTGACGAACACTGAGCTTAGGAAAGCACTACTCTATCTATAGCAAGCGGTTAGCAGAAGCAAGACTGCCCTTTGTCCTGGAGAGAGAGAGTATCTCATCCAAGTCACCTGGTTCAAGAGCGGCCAGGGCCTTGCATTCTCAGGTCCATGGCAGGTGGCCTCTCCCAATGGTGGGGCAGAACGTGCAGACTCGAGTTGTGCAGGCCCTCATCTGGCCCTGGCCAGGGTCTATTCAGGGATGGCCTGGGACTCCATTTGCCAGTTGGTGGCTTTATACCAGTATTCACAGAAGCCTGCAGACTTATTACTCTGTGCAGTGAGCAGTCAGGGTCCTGGCAGGAAAATGATGGCAGGTTTATGGAATTCGCTGGAAAGGGCTTCATGAAGTGACAAATTACAGGGTCAAGGACACCAATAAGGTGTGGTAAGGGTCTCAGGATCCACTATTACCTGAGTCCATAGAGAGCTTGGAGCCTTGGAAGAGGGACTGCCAGGTAACCACCGCCAGCAAAAGAGTGAGGAGGCAGGGCAGGAATGGGGGCTGGGAGGGGCTGGATAACACCCCAACCTCTCTCCTCCAAATACTAACCTCTCTCACCTTGGTTCCCACTGGACGAGCTCAACAGAAGGCTGTAGGCAAGGGCGCCCGCTATGGAGGTCGGCTTCCCTGGGCCAGGCCAGGGCAGGAGGTTGCTGGTTCGATTCCCCGTCAGGGCACATGCCTGGGTTTCGGGCTTGATCCCCAGTAGGGGGCATGCAGGAGGCAGCTCACCTATGCTTCACCCTCACATCAGGGTGGCACATGGAGACCAGCTAGCACACTGTATCATTATGTTTTTTCTAAAAGGTGATTAGTATAAAATTATTCCCTGTCCAGAATTATTAAATGCTACTAAAAGGTATTCTGTATTTATGTTTATAAAAGGATATTTTTCCCCATAAATCTTTTTTAAAAATTTAAAGATATATAATGAAAAGCATTTAACTCTGTTTTTAAAAAATAAGTTCCTTATAAAGTGGACTCATCCACTGTACACAGAGTGCTAAAGGAATTCGTGTTTGTTCTGTTTACATTCGGGAAAGAGCCCTGAGACGGGAAAACTGGACTCTAGCCCCCAATTTATCATTAACTGGTTATAAAGTGAAAGGGCTGCTAACAGTCCCTAAAGCACTTCTGATTTGCTACTGTGTTTGAATGCTGCTTTGGATTAGGAAGCAGGACTTTCTCTTAGTGCAGAGTTGGTTGAACTTGAAATTAGCTTTGTTATACTCCTTGCTTTATAGTATAAATTTTGTTCTCTTTTTAATTTGTATTTAATCAATGCTCCTATATCTATTCCCATGGGGATCTGAGTTATTCAGATTTTTCTGTATCTTGGTCAAAACCAGTCCAGATTAATACATGATACAAGCTACTTTTCTTTCTTAATTTCTTAAAGGCGATACGTAAAGCTGAAGAAATGCAGAGTGATTGACAGAAATCTCCAGTTTTTCTGTTGGAATGAAAACACAATGCTGACTGTCACTACAGTTCTTCAACCTGAGGCCACCTTGTGCCCAATGCAATTATACACCCACCATATTCGTCATTATGGTCTCAGCCAACCCATTCCGCCTGGATGGGGCAGTCCTGTGATTTACATCCCCACACTGACCCTCCTGGAACCAGGGTCCTGAAGATTCAATTAAATCCAAGAACTTGGATCATTTTGAGGAACAATTTGTTTTTATCAGGTCTCTAAACTTTTACTTTAAAAATAAAGAGCTTCTCGCCCTGGCCAGTGTGGCTCAGTTCGTTGGGCATATCCTGTGCACTGAAAGGTTATTGGTTCAATTCCTGGTCAGGGCATTGATCCCCAGTAGGGGGTGTGCAGGAGGAAGTCGACTGATTCTTCCCTCTCACATGATGTTTCTCTCTCTCTTTCTCCCTTCTAAAGAGAAAAAAATATATATTAAAAAAAAAATAAAAAATAAAAAAGAGCTTCTCATAGCCACAGTGGTATTTAAACACAGGAAAGCCCATGCAAGTCATTTGTCCTAAGATGACTCATGGAAGCGATTATTAACTAGTTTCTCAAGAGACATGGATATGCATACTTCTTTTTATTTCTTTGGCCACATTTATTAAGTGGCCTGATTTTCACAGTCAGATGACTCTGGCAAGAATCATGATGTGATAAAGCTGAGTAGGACTCTGGGCTTCACTGGCCTGACTCCCCCTTTGGCGGGTGAGGAAACAGAAGGCCAGGAGGCTGGCACTTCCTCACGATAACACAGGTGGGTAGTGACTGGGTGGGATCTAAAACTCAGATCTTCAGCCAAAAACAGTTTCACATTGTTGCAAAAATTCAAATAACAGACCAAAAACTGTCCTCCTTGACTGCTGTCCCAATCCTAATCTCCTTCCCAGAGTAGCCATTGCTATCAATTGACATGTGTCCTCCACACATTTTGTTTAATGTTCCCACATATGCAAACACATGCATATATGGAGAAATACGTGTGCGTGGAAACAGACGACATTGCTCCATAGTTGTTGTTGTTTTAAAACAAATACTATTACACCATACATTTGCTTCTGCAGTGTTTATCTTGGGTATTTTCCTGGGTCAGCACATATCTACCCCATTCTTTCAAACTGCTGGCTGATTTTCTAAAATATAAATAAGCCATGACATGTGATGGACATTTAGATTGTTTCCATTTTTCCTCCGTTACAAACAATGTTAGACACAGTACTTCTCAAAGTCTTGCGAGCATCAGAATCACCAGAGGGGCTTGTTAAAATAAAGTCCGGGGCCCTGACCCCACACACTCGGACCCCATTCCCAACATTTCTAACAGGCTCTTCGGGATGCTCATGCCGGTGGTCCGGGAGCAGCTTTGAGCCTCTCTGGGGTAACGAATGTCGGCGCATCAGCTCCTGGTGCATTTGTGACTGGTCTCGCGTGGGGGCGGGAGGAGGAGGTGGCTATGAAGCGGACTTGCTAGGTCCCAGGGCTTGTGTTTCAATTTAAAGATACTGAGAAATTGTCCTCCAGAGTGGCCACGCCGCTTCGTGCATTTAGCTGCTTCCCCCAGCAGTGTGTATAGTACGAGGGCACTTGTTTCTCACACGCTCACCACCTTGGATGTTGAAAATCTTTAGTCCGTCCCCAGTAGGTTTGGTAAGAGTGAGAATGGTACCTTGCTTTACCTTGATCACCAGTGAGGTTGATCGTTCATGATGGAAAGGCCACCTGAGTCTCCTCTTCTGTGAATGGTATATTATGCCCTAAGCACATTTAAAAAAATTTTTTTTTATTGATTTTTAGAAGGAGAGAGAAACATTGATGTAAGTGAAACATCCGTCAGCTGCCTCCTGCACACCCCCTACTGGGAACGGAGCCCGCAAGCTGGGCATGTGCCCGGCCTGGGAGTCCAAGCAGCAACCTCCAACTGAGCCACCCGGCCAGGGCCCTAAGCACATTTTGAAAATAGGTTGTTGGTTTGTTTTTCTTGTGTATTTGTAGCAATTTAAAAAAATATATTTTGGATATTAATTCCTTCCCTGTTTCATATGTCTGAAAATGTTTAGCCCAGCCCTCGCTCTTCTACACAACACACTTATGACTCTGCTCCTGATTTTACCACATTACCTGGATCATAAAAATCCCAGAATAAAACAGGATTTTCCTTTTGGACCCTCAGTTCAAATCCTGTGACCATCCCGCTCAGTGTAGGCTCGTGATCGACAAACTGCGAACACGCAGAAAGGGAACAGGCCGGAGCCCCGAGCCTGGCGGGCAGGGGGGCAGCGGAGGAATGCCCGCCTGATGCCAGGGCAAAGGCTCCCTTGCGTAGCTGAGGGAAGCAACCTCCATCTTGTCAAAAAGGAATTTCTGCGAGCTCCTGAGTAAAAGTTCTCCTAAGCTACTTTGACATAGAATTACTCTCTTTTGACATATTATAAACATTAAAGAAAATTTAATGCCCATCTGGACAGTTAGTTTTTGCCAATTGCTACCACCACCAGCTGCAAAACGGCACCGACTACAAGCCATCCAGCTGCCACGCGGGGCCGGTGCCAAGAGAGAGCAACTGCCAGCGCCGCCTCGGCGGCTG